CAAAGAAATTTCTGATTGCCAATATTTTTTACTTAGTGATAAGGAAAATAAGAAAACAGGGTATTTTTGCATTCATAAATGTTCCCTGATAAAAACAGTACATTTTTGGATATTATTTTACTAGATTAATCTGCTGGATTACCATATTTCTTCCTGTCTTTCTAGAAATCTCATTTCTGTAATTGTCCCAGCAGCCTACTCACTTGGTAATATTTGGTTGGTCTTTTGGAATCCTGGTCATTGCATGAGTCAAGGCAAATGGACCCTCCTTAACAGAGGGACTGTGATTCCTCTCTCCTCTTCCCTCAACAGACTGACTATGCTTCAAAATCCTAGGGTGAATGTAGAGCCATTAGTTGTGTCAAGTGTCATTCAAGTACTTTGGATATTTTTACTGTCTGTGTTCTTCCCATCCCCCAGCAAGAAAACCAAAAGCCTGTGCATTTTAGAAACATCTGGAGAGGAATCCTGGGTAGAGGACCCCACAACTCTACTAGTTAGAAAATTTTTTCTTGTGCTTCATTTTAGGGCTGTCGCCATTTCCTTTTGGTTGGTATTCAGGAGTTTATAGAGCACAGCTATTCATTGCTATCTATTCAGCATCATATAATTTAAGTCTGATAAAATTACCATTTGGGTTATATTCATATCAAATAGTCCTATAACAGAGTCCGCTACTAACTCTTTCCTCATTGGTCTTATTTCTTTATGAATTCTCCTGAGTTCTATAAACCATATGCTACAGTTTCATAATACATCTATTAGATAGATACCATGCCTAGAATCTTAAGTGCTACCATTGGTATATACAATTTTTAAGATGTTACATGAAAAAATAATTAAGTTTAGAGAATTAACAAATATTTTAGTACTATTGAATTTATGTTTAGAAAATCATAATTTACTTCCTTTGAGGTTGTTGGAGTTTTTTTGGCCTGAAGGGGCAGTGAACTCTTAACCCCAAACTTTGGAGATGTTTTGCTTGAGTGGAAGCCAGTCGCTCAGCTAACGCTCAGCTAGTGGTGTGAACCAGACTGCTGTTCTGTGGAAATTAGAAATGGCTTTTATTAGACATTAGTATTAATATAAATAGGATGTAGCTACTTTAAGACATTAAATCAAACATGGTCTCTATTCAGTTAGAATTAGGCATTTGAGGCAGACAGATAAATGTTGGTATTGATACAAACCAGTTGTGTATAGATACATTATAATTAGTCTTATAAATGCGATACATTTCACATTTAAGTATGGGCGAAGGCTAAATCTAGAACCTAATAACTAAATTAAATTTGCTAGATAAATTACTGACCTTTCCTAGTTTCCTCATCTGTGAAATCAGGGGTTCTTTTTAAATAATCAGGATTTAAAATTCTATAATCGAAACCTGCCTACTTCACATAGATTTAGGGTCTAAAGTAGATTAGATTGCCTGCAATTGAGAAATGTTATGGGTACTTAAGTATTATAAAAAGCCTACATAATTAGTAGTAAACTTTAATCAGCTTCTTAGTTCTTTTTTTGTTGATATATAATAGTTGTGTATATTTCACCTTCTTAATTCTTTTTTTTGAGATAGAGCCTTGCCCTGGGTGGAGTGCAGTGGCGTCATTGTAGCTCACAGTAACTTCAAACTCCTGGGCTCAAGTGATCCTCCTGCCTCAGCCTCCAGAGTAGCTGGGACTACGGGTACATGCCACCACACCTGGCTAATTTTTCTATTTTTTGTAGCAATGGGGTCTTGCTATGTTTCTCACAGAGACTTCATTTTTAATTTTTTCAAGATAATCTCATTACTTCAGCTGTCATTGATATGCAAATTTCTCTCACATTAAACTTTTTCAACAGCCTGGAGGACACTCATGTACCATCGAAGGCACTTAGTTTCTCCTAAACCAATGTCAACATTATTTTTTACTCCTCATTTCAAGCTTAGTCTTGTTTCCTAATTTCTGTTTTGGCAGCAGTTCTGGTCTACTCTCTGCTTCAGAACCCTTTGTCCTCTTTCCTTTTCCTTTCATAACCACCATGAAGTACTACTGGTTTAGTCTTTTAAATTCGTTCCCCTCCTTCCTACCCCCACAGTCCCACCCAGGGCCTCATTCCAGCCACTCCCCCAACCAGAAAGACAACTCATCATCATTTTGCACATTCATCCCCGTTTAATACTTCTAAAATGCCTTACCACGTGGCTATCCCACTGTTTGCCAACTTTTTTGGGGGGGACATTTTTCCATGACTTCTGGCCTTAGCAGTTTTGTATCTTCTATTATTTACTAGAGCCTTCTCTATTCTTAAATTTATTCATTCTACGTGTGCTTTGCCTGCTTGCTGTCCTCCATATTGGAATGTTCTTCCTTTTCCTCTGGGCCGTCTGTAAGACACATGTTTTCAAGGTCTGGTTCTCACCATCTATGAGGAGCCGTTAACATCCTTCCAGTATGTAACTTGGCACTGAGTTCTTTGCCTTATCCTGTTAACACACAGCCATTCTTTCTGTCCTAGTCCTCAATCTAGTAATGTTTCTGACATGTACTTTCATTAATATTTTAAGTTTTTTGTGGTGAGGAAACTTGCCACAGGAGAGGGCTTTCAAATGTGCAGGTCTGCCCTGTCAGTAGATAAGAAAATTTTTTCAATGCCCCAGAAACCATGGATACCTAGCTCACAAAATTGATACAGGAAATGTTCAACCTCAACAGTTAAGACATTTTAAAAGACTTGAGATACCATTTTTAATAGATTGGTAAAATTAATATGGAGTTGTGAGGGTACACAGAAATAAGCAATCTTGTAGCCTTCCAGTGGGCAAATCAAGTGATAATGCCTTCTGGGGGTAAAGTAGGAGGAAGTTTTAAAAACTTACTAATAATATTCTGTGATCCATGAATTCCACTTTCAGGAATACATCCTAAGGAAATATATGCACAAAGCTATGTTTAAGGTGGTCATCACAGTGTTAAAAAATAGAGTAAATAAATCATTATCCAGTTGTACTATGGAATACCATTCAGTCATTAAAAATAATAGCTCGGGGCATGGCCCTTGCCCCCTTCTGCTATCAACAGCCTGATTCTTTGCGGGGAACTATTCTTTCCTCCTCAGTCCATGTTTGAATGGGTGTCTTAGTTTGGGTTCCCCGGAGAAACAGACCCTGAGATGGAGATTTTCATGCAGGAAGTTTATGGGGAGTATCCTTAAAATCAATACTTGGGGGGGTGTCCAGGGGCCGGGGACTGGGCAGAGGGAGGAGTTGAGCTGTGATGCAACCGCATCATAAATACCTCAGACGATTCTAGCAGGAGCTTTGGAACAGGAACGATCCTTCAATGTCATCTCAACTTGAGGCAAGGGGGTTGGGATTCGGCCCTTTTATGCACACACACACACACATACACACACACACACACACACACACACACACACACACGCACGCCCATCAATCATCGGATGAGGGCTGACACCGGGAGGGGTGTGACGTTGGTCTGGGTGGCCCTCTGGCTAACTACCACCACAGAGAGGACTTAGCTGAGAGGCATCAGCTGCCACCACTCAGCAGCTGGGGGAATGAGTGCCTCAGTCCTGACCCGGGAATTGGGGTGGTGACCTCAGCACCCGCTAGAGGTGGGGCTGAACTGACCCCTCATCCTGCTCTGGGCCCAGGCACAGCTGATCTGAGCGTCCCAAGGCTACGCATTCTTGCCTTCAAATAGTGACTGGTCCAGGCGTGGGTCCGTGATTCAAAACGAGCCAGTGAAATCTGATATGGGGATTTTTGCTGAACAGTTAGAAAAGAGGTAGGCTTGCTCCTGGATTTGCTAGGCTGGGCCTGTGAAAGCACGGAGCTTTCCTTCAGAGCGCTAGAGATAATCTGTCTACCAGTGAAGAAAATGAGGCCAACGCTCAGAAAAAAAGCCAAAGGATGGAGAATGAGAGCCCCGAAGCTGTTATTTGGGTAATTCACTAGTTTAAAGTCCCTGGACTTTTCCAGTTACACAAGCCAATATGTTACCTTTTTGCTTTACTCAATTTAAGTGGGTTCTGACAAATACAATGGTGTGCCAGAATAATGACATTCATGATACGTTAAGTGAAAAAAACCCCACAATATTTTACATATAGTAATGATCCTAGTTTTGTAAAATGAATGTGCACATTAAAAAGAAAATTCAGCAGAACAGAAATAACGGTGAGATGGGGGTGGGGGCTAAATTTAATTTTATTCTATATGTTTCACAAAGATGTCAGGGTCTAGGATTTTACCCAATTTACCCTACTTACCGCACCGTATCAACTGGTAGGATCTCCACAAAACAGTAACGGGCTCGCTGGCGAACCCGTTACTGTTTCATGAAGGCCACATCCCTGCTGCCCTTCATTTCCTCCGGGACACTGTCTTCGCATGGCTCCTCCTTTCTCCAGCTCATTTCACACCTTGGCTCCAGCCACCGGAGTCGCAGTTTTCTGAAGAATCGGGAAGGCGTCTTTGCTGCCTGCCTCCCCCGTCCCCGCACCGGCCCCCTCCCCCAGCGTCAAACTCCTGCTCATCCTGGGCCCGGCGCTCCAGGCGGAGATGGGCGCTGCAGTGCGGGTCCCGGCCGCGGCTGCCAGGAACAGATGCGGCTGTCATCGAGGTCTAGACTGCAGAAAGAGTTGGCAGCGCTGCCAAGCAGCGCGGGGCCCCACGCGGTCACGGGGGGCTGCGGCTGCCGGCCCGGGCGGGCTCGTGCGGCGGGGCGGGCGCAGCTGCTTCCCCGCCCCGGGGCGGCGCCCGCACTCCAGTCGCCCGGCCCGGCCCGGCCGCCCAGTGCCGCCGCCATGTCCTCGGGGGCCAGCGCGAGCGCCCTGCAGCGCCTGGTGGAGCAGCTCAAGCTGGAGGCCGGCGTGGAGCGCATCAAGGTGAGCGCCCGCCGGGAAGCGCGCTCTGCCC